TTCACAAGAACTGGCTCAGAAAGCGAAATTCATTCGGAGCGGTTCTATGTTTCGAGGGCAAAACGAATAGTTGCGACATATCGAATAAATCGGATAGCCCATCCAGCTCACCATTTATTTATTCACTCAAATCCAAGTAATGTATAGGAACAGCATCCATATTCTTCGTTATTTTTATAATTTTTTCAGCACTTTTATCTTCCTACTAGTCCATAGGTCCTAAAACAGTTTATTCCAGGAAAATGTTCGGATAATGAGGATTTTGATCCCATCCGTCACCGTGCATGCAGTGCTCGGAATGATTGGCTTGGTGTCATTGCTTGTTTTTGCCATTGTGTACAGGTAGGTTGAATCATTCATTTAAAGGGTTTTTTATTCTCATTGTCCCTAAAAGACAATTTGGCTGCATTACACGGAAACATGGAGTTGATCTGTATTTTGAAAGAGATGGGGTCCGTTGTTGTAGTGCAGGCATTACCACTGAAGTTAGTCGGGGCGTGTCAGCGAAGTTTTGGCGGAGCAGCAGGCCCAATCTCCATCGCTTGGGTCTTTTATTGAGTGTTGGGAAAGGAAATGGCACCACGGCAATACCTGTGGGCCGTTGACATGCCTCGACTGATTTAAGCGTGATTCCCTACTCTCGCCCTCCTCCTCCTCCTCACCCCAGATGATGGTTTTCTCAAAGTTAAAAGTCAGTGAGGAGGTGAAGTCCACCTTGGGATTCTTTCCAAGTGCGCGGTTGCGGGCTCATCGACGGCTGTGTATTCCCACGCTGACTCTCCTCCCTGCATTCATTATCCCTGTAAACGAGAGGGTGTGTGAAGGGGAGGGGGAGGGAGTTTGAAGCGGAACGAGGGGGCCATTTCCACCAATAATATCGTCCTCAGCCCGCAAAAAGTAGAGAAAATGGGTACCCTGGCTGCGCTCCGCGATCACCCACCCCCCCCCGCCACCCCCTCCCTTCGCCATGCTTGGAACTACGTGCTCGGAGACCATACCTTAGGTAGATAAGGGGCGTACTTATGCACAAACAGCGTGATAATAGGTCCAGCTAACGTGGGCGAGACCTAGAGACACACTTTTTGACATCATGGGCGGAGTCAGGTACCTCTTGATAGAGTCCTATTCTCCTCGGTCTCAAATGATAAGGGCGCTCAAACGAAGGGCTACCTCCAAACATTTCTTATTGATGCTCCCTTTCAAACAGTAAAGAGAGTGAGAAAGGACGGACAGCTGACTCCGCCCATATGGCCAACGTGGAACATAACTATTACACCTGCACATTAAGCCTGGTTGTTCACATACGATACAGCCCAGCTTTTCAACAAGTACTTACATACTTCCTACAAGCATACTGTAATCAGACTTATATGTAACTTTTTAAGAGCTGCCGAAGAGCGTATGGTCGTCCGGTTCGCACCGTTCTCCGAATTAGTCTTACTTGTTGTACCGGTCTACGCTGTTGTTTTTCCATTTGTGGCCATTGTAAGGAATAAACAATTATGGCAAGCATCAAGGTAAGCGAGTCACATTTTTCGGCGCAGTTCGGGTTAATGGGGGCACCAATTGGTACTCAGGAAAGCCTACACAGGCCATCTTTTGAAGATTCCTGTGAACAGAATTGCTCACTTGAACCATTTCACAGTTTCACAGGAGTTTATAGCTATGACCAAAGGGACATTCTAGTTAACATGAATCAACAAGAGGAACTAGCGAAAGTGCAATATGCCCCTTCCAAGCCGAACAGCGCCCACTTTTCTTCTCTCATGACCCGCTGAAATAAAAAAAATTCAGGCGAGCATTACCATGCTTGTTCAATGATCGACCTGCACCACCATCGGAAGATCGCCTCATTCCTGATCACACGGTGATCGTATCACGGCCAAGTAAACAGATGGAACGGGATTCTGATACTCATTTTGATATGTTGCAAGAAATGTGGAAGAAATAGACTTTATTATTTATGAATAATCTTCAGCACAGGCAAATACAATCCTTGTACAAAACAGTACGCCTGAATCCGGCGAGTTGTCATGCTTCGAGACGGGGCGAATTTCCCAGAGTCCACAAATTCATCCTGTAGCACCATGTAACTTCAAGGACGAATCCTCATTAGCGTTGATATTTACTCGAGAATTCAATCCTTACATTAAGGGGTGTTTGGAGGTAGAAATAGGGGAAAGTCACGAGCGTACAATATCTCGCCGAAAGGACCTAGACGAGCAGAAAAACTCCACCCCTTTTTCCTGTTTCGAAAAGTTAGGAAATGAGCCTTGAGTTGAGAGAAGCTGGAGAGGGGCGCAACAAAGAGAAATGTATAATTGATGGACATCCCTCTCCAAGTCTCCGCCCATACCATCAACGTGGGCTGTGTCTTTAAGCATGATGACAAGATGACAACATGAACGAACAGAAACCGGCCTAAAAAGACATTTCCTAAGGAAATCGAGAGCAAGGATAGAACTTCAACGACCAAAGCTTGCAAAACTACTGAAGCTAAAA